CAAGCCACAAAACTGGTCGTGCAGAAGAAAACGAGTGGATTAGATTTACAAAACTGCATGTGATGGGTGCTGCAGCTGCACACATGTGTTCTGGAAGCATTTTGTTCGTGTGCGCGGGGCGGGGGCATACAAATGGCAGGACAAGTCCATGGGATGGCTTGACCTGGGGGCAGGGGATGCGGGGCGCATCTTATTCATCAAACATTGGCAGCTCTGACTACTTCATGAAAGACGAAAGACAAAAGCAACACACTATGCATAAGCAGAGAAATCTAACTACTCCTGACGACCCTGCCGCAAGGCGGAGGGGCGGGACACGCCACGCAGCAGTAGTGTTGACGTGCCGTCTTGAAAACGGGGTCCTGTACCTTGTCAGGCAGCCACGCAAAACACAAACCCAACAAGGCGTGCAATCGCACGCCTTGTGCGATTGCAGGAGGGAGAGCAAGAGACTGGCCGCTGCCCGCGCTGCTGCAGCAAGTGTGTGCGACTTTCCAGGATTTGAACACACCCGCACATCCTGGAATGCACTTGGGCCGAGCCGGAGCAGCAGAAGGCTGTTGGCTGGTTCCAAGTGCTAGATGATGGCTTGCGGCATGGGGGCGGAATTGGGCCAAGGAGTGGGCTTGACTGGCAGCACCGCGCTGGACAGAGAGCTAGCAATTCACTCGATGACAAAGGCAAAGCGTGGCATCCAAGAGAAAGACAACATCAAACGGACAAGGGACTGAGGTTGGATGATCATGTACAGCTGTGCGCAGGCCAGCGGCAACCCCATCGCCAGCCTGGGCAGGGGCCCTGTCAGCTGTCGTCTTCCTCCTCACTTGAAGACAGGAACCCGCCCTCGCTCTCCTCCCCTCCGCCCTCACCGCCGCCATCCCTACTTTCCTCTGCCCGGCGCTCCGGCCGCGCGACATCGCCGCAGCCATGTTTGCGCTTCGCGCTTGCATCCGCGGACGCGAAGCGCTTGACGTAATCTGCACAAGGGGGCGCATCGCAACGCAACCATGTGGCGGGTGATGAGGGCTCGATCAGAGCTGGCTCCGGCGCGCACGCAAGCATGGACTGGGCTCCGCCATACCATGCCCGATGATGACGTGACCTGCCCAACTCATCAACTCTTGAGTCCGAGCATGCCTCGCCACGCCGCCCCGGCGGCGGCCCGTCCACAACAACGCACCTTTGACGCGTATGTTGTAGAGCGCTGGGTCCCGCATCAGCAGCGCGGCCGCCTCCCCGTTGAGGGGGTCTGTCGGGTTGGGGTACAGCAGAAGCTGCGGCAGGAACACCTCAAACACGTTGATCAGGTCTGGGGGCGGGCAGGGGCGCGTCACAGGTGGGGCGGGGCGGAAGGCAGGGGGTCAACGGGTCACCGAGCAGACCATGGGAGAGGAGACACAAAGGAGGGGTGCGGGCCTCGTTTGCAGCGGCGGTCGATCCAGCACTATTTGGTACCGTAGTCGAAGCGATGGCCCATGGCCATGAGTGTGGACGGGGCTTGCTCGGTCCTGGCAGGTGCAGGGGCGCGTGCTCACCGAACATCGGGCTCCAGGTCTGGTTGATGACGTCCAAGCAGACAGACCCCGCCCTGTGAGGAGAGTGCAAGGGAGCGGCGGCACGGGGAGGCGGCGCGTCAGCGCACAGGCTCGGCGCCCCCGACAGCCGCTGGCGCGCTGTTGCTAGCCGCGTTCCATGCTGCCACCCTCTGGCAGTACCGCGGCTCGGCCACTGCTCGTAGTGTGTGTCGGCATGCCCATCCTTGGCAAACGCCGGCTTGCAGGCACCCCCTAGAACCCCGGTCGCCCTGACCGCTGCTGCCTCCACCCTGCGTGCGTACCCCAGGTCAACGTTGGGGTGGTAGATCTTGTTGACAAATCCTATGGAGGGGGACTTGTAAGGATACGCCTCTGGGAGCTCCACGCGCACGCGCCACACGCCGCCCTCGTATGGGCCTGGCAAAATCGGGTTGATAGGTTGCGGCTGACTTGAAGAAGCACGGAGCGATCGGCAAGAAGCGTGCACGCCGGACCGGCGTGATTGCGGCCTGGACGGCCGAGTGGATGCGGCTCTGCAGCTTACGAGCTGCTAGGCACACAGCGCGGCGCGTCGGCGCTGCAGCGCCGTAAATTTGCCCCGTACGCGCACACACGCGTGTGGGTGCATGCAAATCGCAGGCGCCATGGGGGCGCGGCTACTCACTGTCCTTGGGCCCATGAAAGGACACGTAAAGCTCGCTCATGTTGTCCTCGAGCAGCTCAACGTTCCAGTCAGACATGAGGCTGCAGGACAATACGGCAGGGCAGGGGGAGGTACACATCAGCAGGTCGCACGAGGTACAACGAAGGGCCGACCCAGCGGCCATTGTCCATCACTTGCCAGCCAAGGCCGCCCACGCCAGCCGTCCGCTGGGATGCGCTCTTGGCGCGCAACCAAACGCGCCCATGCCTGCTGAGGCTCCGCGGCCCGGACACGGCGCCCGAGCTTGCGTGCCACATCAGCTGGCGGTCGCGTGTGCACGTCCAGCAGGCTAGCAGCATGCAGGGGCCGAATCCGCCAACCAAGAGAACGTCATGCCTGTTCTTCACTCACAGCTTCATGGTATCATGTTCTCGCCTCCTTCCCGGCGAGGTCATCCTGCCAGCAGGCGACGCCCGCGGGCAACGTGAGTGGTTCAAAGAAGGATGCGTGATGGGAAGTACTATCAATTCGGCAGGCCCTCGGCGGTGATCAGGCCGCGGATGGAGGCACCGACAAATGCTGCTGATATGACAGTGTGTGCGCCTCAAAAACAAGACAGCAACGCACGTCAATGACTGCACAGCCTACTACACAGCGATCATAAGCTTGTAAGTGCACACATCCAGCCGCCAGAGGTGTGTGCATGGATAGCTAGCTCAATTGGGCTGCGCGGCAGCTGCTCACTGCAAGCAAACGACACAGCGGCGCCTTCCTGCATGCTTGGCACCTGCCACTCGCAAGCCGTTGGGAACGCAAGGGCAACCCCTGCAGAAATGGGATGGCTGCATGCGTCTCAGCGGGCCACACTGACATGCCTTGGGAGTCACTGAAGACCTGATCTCCCGCCGTCGCCCAGCCACGCTCCCCATCAAAGCACGCCCCCTTTTCTTTGCCGTCAGCCGATGTTATTGTGGCACAATCAAAGCCATGTGATCAGCAACGCCGAATGCTTACAAGGAAGCCTTTGACTGCGGCCACAGAAGCGATGGCCTTGTTGCAGGTTCGTGCCAGCATTTCCCCACGTCCGTTGTGCAAACAGTGGGGATTCGCTGCCGACGCTGAGCACCTGATCAGATGATTATGCAGGTTATAAATTGTGGTGTTGCCCGAGGGCTCAAGTCGATCCCCCACATGCATGAAGTGTCCCCTCTATAATGATGAGTACTAGCACCTACTGTTGGGCAACACGTCATTGGGGCCGCGATAAAGACGCAGCCAAATGTCATACCCCACGCCAGGGTACGTATCCCTCGAGATTCATGGTGGCGCTGACCCTGCATTCAGTCATGCCGCTGCGTCAGGCACGCGAGATATTACGAACGCGATCCAAGCCCTGTCGCAGGCTGACGGGGGCGGCAAAGCCACAGCAGTTACTTGCAGCTGTACAGGCAACATGTTGTGCACGACAAGGTCATGCCACCATACAGCACCATGCATGCGGAGCCAGCGGATGAGAGAGAGGAGGTGACACCAAACCAATGTTTACTCATCTACAACAGCACAGCGTATAACTGCCACTGCCATTGAAAACCCATCTGTAAACAGGACAAAACGCTGCACCCCCCTTCCCCCAAAAAAGCAAACCTGCATTGGGGCTGACCGTTGCTGGGCCGCCATTCGCAGCTGCTAAACCAGCAGTTCTGGCGCCCGCTGCTTAAGGTGTTCGATGCAGGCCGCCTTGCTGCCCTGGGGGTTGGCGAGCTGCCAGTCCATTGCTGCGGCGAGAACCTTGCCCAGCTGCGGCCCTGCCTTCTTCATGCCCAACACAGACATGACCTGTAGGCAAGGGCACAGGTGCAGGGGCCATGCCGTCAACCAAGCTAGGGGGGTCTCATATGATCATGCAGCTACCTGTACAATTTGATGTGTGCCGCACATTGCGGACCAATCGTTTGTGCTGCACATGGGCACCAGGCATAGAAAGCACCGCCAGCAAAGGGCATCCCCTTTGTGTTGTGGGTGTGCTTTCCCAGTATTGCCGACAGCCAAAAACGTTGGCTGCAAGGCACCAGGCGGACTGGCAGTTGAGCCAAGCCTCTCCCCATACTCACCTCCTTGCCATCCAGCAGCGGCTTCCATTGCCAGCAGTCCTGCAGCCCAAACGCGTGCACCGCAGCCAGCAGCTCATTGACTGTCCCCACCTGCCCTGCCGCCCACGCCGCCGCCTCCACCGCCTCTGTGTCCCGCCCCGCTGCCGCCGCTGCCGCCGCCTCGGCGAGCTGTGCGGCCGACGCGCCGCCGCCGCCGCTGCCACCGCCGCTGCCACCGCCTTGCGTCTGCCCCACATCTTCGACCCCAAGCGGCTGTGCGCTCGAGGGGTGGTGAACCAGCGGCGCCAACAGCACCCCAAGCTTCCAGTGTTGCTTGAGCTTCCGGATCGCGTGCCCCAGCGCCACTCTCACATTCTGATCGTCGACGCTGCCGCCCTCCGCTCCTGCTTCCCCGCCGCTGCCGTCACCGTTGCCGCCAATCGGTGCACCGGCCCTGAGTTGCTGGCTGATCTGAGCGAGATCAGGCGCAACCTCGTGCAGCAGGGCCGTCCCATCAACCTCCTTGACACGCCACTTTATTGATTCGCGGATCATGTAGGCGCTGACAGGGACCGGCGCGCCGCGGCCGCCCTTGGCAGGGTTTGGGATGGTCGCGCGGCGAAGCGGGAACAGGCAGCCGGCCAGCAGCAGCAGGCGGCGCTCCTCAACGGGCAGCTGTTGCGGTGAATGGTTTGCGGGAGCGAACAGCAGGGACGGAAAGCTTGTGTCTCAAGTTGGCACCGCGTGTGCACAGGAGCTGACCCTGCTGCGTACCTCAAGGCTGACACGCAGCAACGCACCCGACCTTTAGCAGCTCCCCAGACGACATCACTGCACGCATCACAGAGCTGCCAGCCAACCAGACAGCCAGCCAGCCAGACAGCCAGCCAGACAGCGAGCTCGCCCAGCGGCCTGCACGCCTGCTGGGTAGCCAGGAGCAGGATCCTGTCACAACCAGCCAAGGGCCCCACCTCCTCAGCCAGGCCTGATGCCTTGAGCAGCGCCTCTGCCGCCGCAATAGCCGACGCGCAGGGTGCGCCGAAGCCCTCCCCCAGCTGCTGCGTGTTCTGCGGCGGCGCGGCAAACACCACTGGGAACAGCCGCAGCCGCTCGAGCAGCAGCACTGCCAGCGACGGCGCGGTCCCTGCGCCCGTGCAACGTGTCGGAGGTGCGAATCGACGGCTGAGCACCCGCCAGTCGCCTGAAAGTTGCCCGGTCAGGCTTTGAGCGCGCACGGGGGAACGGAACCAGGGCAAGGGCAAGAGGAGTGCACCTGGAGGTTTGCGAAGGCAGTGCTCACAAGCGGCTTGCGGGATCCTCACCATTGAACATGCCCTCCAGCTCCGTCCCTATGCGCTCTCGGCTGATTTTCTGGCCCAGCGCGGTCCGCACCTGCTTAGGCGGTGCAATATGTGCAGGTCTTAGGCAGGGCCGCGACTGAGTGCATAAGGGGTGTGTCAGGGTTCAGGGCTGGGGTCTGGGTTGGCGGCCACGCTGGTCGCATGGCCTGGGTGTCTCAGACCAGCGACGCATGTCATGCGCTCCCGATCAGCGCGAGCCTTGCATGGAGGCCCCGCCTCGACAGAACGCCTTGCACGCCCACCTGTACCTGTCTCACACGCCCTCAGCAGCCCGACTCTTACAGGTTGCTTTGCACGCCCTCCCGTGCCTCTGTACACATACCCTCGGCCCATACCCTGCACCCACCTTGTCGCTGGCGGCCGCCTGAAGAATTTCTGGGTGCAGATCGAAGCCAAAACGCGTCGCGAAACGCACAGCGCGCAGCACGCGCAGCGGGTCTGCAGGGCCGGGACACAGGCATGGGGCGGCTAGGTGTTGCCAGGCTGCTGCCAAGGATCATGCGAGCAGCAGCTGCCGCCCCTGGCATGCATCCATGAGTAGGATGGCGCTTGTGGTTCACCCAATTGCAGCGGTTGCATCCTTGAACTGGATTTCAGAAATGACAGGCGCTCGTGTTCACTGTCTGCATCCAGCAGTATTCAGCCCAACACAAGGCAGGGGCCCTGAACATCGTCAACACGCCTCATAACTTGCTGACGGTCCTTTCCTAAAGCTGCTCACCGTCTAAGAACGTCTCCGACGCGGGCAGCGGCGTGCGCAGCAGCCCGGCGCGAAGGTCTGCGAGGCCGCGCCCCGTGAGGTCCTCCACCGCGCCCTGGTTCAGGTTGTAGAAGAGCGCGTTGATTGTGAAGTCTCTGATGGTGGCGGGTTGGAGGGCGCAGATGGGAGAGGTGTGTGTGGGGTCAGAGCAGTTGATTGCTAGGAGTACAAACCATGCGCAGCAGAGGAGATCATGATAGGAGGCAATATGGCACAGGGGGTTGTCCAAACCCTCCGCGATATGGGCGGCAACAATTGGCATTGTATCCAGATTACACTGCATCGTCCAATGACGGGTCAGCAGATACATGCATCCTGAAACGCCCGTCCTCCTGCTGCACTGCCCCGAGCCAGCCTAACCAGACCAACTGGTGGATGACACCAAGGAATGCAAGCCAACGGTGCCAAACACCCACATACCGCAGCTCCGCGCCCCACACCTGCGCTCAGCATCCTGCAGCGGCGTCCCAAACTCCATGGTGGGTATGCGGCTGCCCTCCGCGTACGTCTCGCTGCGCAGGTTGACCAGGTCAATCCAGAGGTCGTTCACCCGCATGCGCGCGGTTTCCAAGTGCTTTGACTGGTCAGGGTTGCTGTGAATGACGGCCGCCTTCTTTGTCTCGCGCCCTTGCGACTGCAGGTAGTCGTTGACCTGTTGATGGGTGTGCGCCCGAAGCTTGTGTTTGCGTGTGCGGCTGTGTGTGTGTGGGGGGGGCGGGGAGGACGTGGATGGGGCCGGCCGGGCAATAGTGTTGTTGTGGAGGGCATCTAGAGAGGCAGCACAGGAGGTCAACAAACGGCTTGGCCTCCGTTGAGTGGCGAGGCACTATCAATAGTGCCTCGCCCCAATTGGTGAGCCTAGGGGACCAGGCTAGCGGGCTCATACAGGCCACCACCCACACGACTGCACAAGGGCCTCATACACATGCAGAAACGCGTGTATGATCACACAAGTCTGCCGCTCACTGCTACAGTGTGTCCATGTCACAACAAACACCATCCTGCGCGCCTTGTCTGCGAAGTCCTTGCCCAGCATGTTGTCCAGCGCCACGTCGATGTCCTTGGACTCCTTCCCCAGCAGCTTGTCCCGCACCCACCCGCCCGCGCAGCGCAGCGTGGTGTCCGTCCCGGCATGCTTTACAGATTCCAGAAGCAATGTGAACAGCTCCTGCTCCTCCTGGGTGAGCGAGATCGCTTCTTGAACGGTCACCATGGCGGCTGCAGCCGTCCAACGTGTACCTTTATCGTATCTTGTGATTGATTCGAGCCTCTTGTAGCAGCTTCCGGTGAACGCAGACAGCCGAGTGCCGCGGAGGCCTCGCAAGTGCGCTAGGTTGAGCATCACCAAGCGCCCATTGCCACTGCAATCTAATGTAATTGATCCCGTGGTTTCCTTGCTGAAAGCGCACCGGCACACATGTAGCTGGCTATTGCCCACAGCGCCGACCAGGGCACGCCGCACCTGCTTGCCCAGCAGCTGCCTTGCACAAGGCTCCTGGTGCACAGTGCGAGTGCCAACGCTGAGCACGTGGCACCTGGCCGTCCCAAGGTTAAGCTCTGGGTTTTGGTTTGCTAATGTGTGGCAGTTGTCCTCATCGGGTTGCATGAAACAAGAGGCGCTGTCACTGACACTGGCACCACCAGAGTGCGGTACACGAGCCTGCTGCGGCTGAATGATCATGCGCCCAAAGTTTCAAACAAAAGCCTTGAAACCTGCGCTTCTTGGCAGCAAGAACCACCCTGTAATGCTCCCGGGAATCGGAAAGTGATGCATCAGACCAGCTGGTCCCCCCAGTCTACGCGTAAAGGGACTGCAAACTTTGAGGCAAAAGCACATGGTCGGCATCTTGCCGTCCCAAACAATCCGCATGCGTATCACACCGTTACTGAGGCTTACCTAGGCTTGGTGCGCCTACCGTAGTCTCCAAAACCAAAGAAATAGGTGTTGAGGGCTCACCTTGCCAATGAGTCCACTCGCCTATAGCATGTCTTCCTTACATCCTTGACGCATGAAACTCTGAGCCATGGAGGAGGGACTCCCTTTCATCTGCTGCAATTTGCGTCGGCATGTCAAGTTGACCAACTGGTGCCTCTACCACAGCGCCGTCCGCCGGTGCCAGCACTTACCACACATGACAAGAACATGTGGTTGTCACAGTCGTCAGCCTGCTCATATTTTTGGTGAATGTGCTCCACATTCGAACCTGGTTGCCTGCTGTACAGTGGTGGTGCCACCTGCACCTTGGTTGGACCCGATCAATCAAGAGGCGCGGGTGACACTTGATACTCGCTGAAAGTACGTACGTACAATCGTTCTGTACCAGTCTTTCAAGTATCCATTCACCAACGCCGTGCTGCAGTGAAAGCGAGCGGCCGTCCCGCTGTCTGACCCGCAATAGAGGCTGGCAGAGAGCTGTATGAGTCAATTTTGAGCCTCGTTTACCACTTCTACTGCCGGCGTCGCACGAAGACTACTGGTGCTTGGCGGGCGACCTTCTGCTGGTTTGGCGCGCCTTGTCAAGCAACCTGGGCCCCCAGCTGTAACGGTGCGACAGGCGACCAGACTGTACCAGCAGCGGCGCAACGCCATTAGAATTGCGCAAGAGCGGCCGTGGTGCGCCGCTGACGCTGACCTAGAAGGAGGCGTGGTCGCACACAGCGCCTGCGCTGCGCGCGCGCCCCAGCCGCTGCGCCGGCCATGTGGGGGTTCTTCTCCCTGGCGCTGGTGGCGGTGGGGGCCGCAATATTCCTATTGATCCGCCGCTATGCGGCTGGCAGCGTGCCGCTGGTAGTAAAGGCCACCACCACCTACGCTTGGCTCGTGGCCTTCATCGTTGTGGTGAGTTTGCAGATGCCGTCGCACTGTTGCGACGTGGGTGGGAGGGGGGCGGCCTCGCGCGGCCAGGCGGGGCGATCAGCCAGTGTTCAGGCGCACGGACGACAATGCACAGAGGCTCGAGTGGCGCGCGCATCGCCGGGTCGCACGGCTTGTTGACAGCAGCGCCAGCCACCTAGCTGGCTGGCAGCGCTGCGGTCGAACACGCGCAAACATCGGCTGCTGTTCTCAGGCGTTGGCGCAAGCAAGCCGGCTTGTTTGGTAGCAGCGCGCTTGCTTCACAAGCAGCAAATGTGCCTGACACGTCGCCGGCAACTGCCTTGCCGCGGCTGCTCGCCGTCCTGACTGCCTGTCGCTGCCGCGTTGCAGGTGCTGGTGCCCATTGATGTGTTTTCGACGCTCATCAAGCGCGGGGACAACGCAGTCGTCGATGTGATGTGGAAGGTCTGCTATTGGTCGACGCAGGTGGGCCCTCAGCGGCGCGGTGCATGGCTGCATCAAGGGCTGGGTTGCGGGGCAGAGGCAGCAGCATGCACATTGGCGTGCAGATGGTCAGGCGAGGCGAGCGGGCGGCAGCCAGGAGGCACCACGTGGCGCACCGGGCTGAGTAGATTTTGCAGCTGGCCGGTTGATGGAGGCACGCGCCTTCCTGGGTCCCCGCCGCAGGGGCTGACCCCGTTCATGACGCCCCAACTCCCAGTATTGCCCCTTGGACGGCACCCTTCGTCATGTCGCAATATCTCACACACCCACCTGCTGTGACCCATCCAGGTGTTGACGTGGATGGTGCTGCCATTCTTCCAGGTCTATGCAGACGCTGGGGACTTCACAGTTGGAGCCCGCTGTATGACATCGCTCAAGGCGCGCCGGCTGGGGCCGTGCTCGGGGCAAAGACAGCCTACCCGTCCGTAGGGGCTGTATGTGTGTGTGTGTGTATGTGTGTGTGCGCGCGCGTCTGTGTGTGTGTGTGTGTGCAAGTGCGCGTGTGTGCATGAAAAACGGTGCCATATGCCTCTATCTCATCCGATCTTGCCGCGCAGCCACCATCCCGCCCCTCGTGCAACCCCTTGAACCCAGCGTGCGCAAACACGGACCCCACCGGCCGTATCGCACCAATCCAAACAAACCCCGCCGCGCAGGAGAACGGGATCCTGTACGGCGCGGCGGGCGCCGCCGCGGTGGTGGGCCTTATCGTGATCATCGTGGTGGAGAAGGCCCTGCGCATCAGCGACCTGGTGGCCCTCGGCATGGGCCTCTCCAACACCTTCGCGCTGAGCGTGGGCCTGCTGCTGATGGGCTACGGACTGGTGGAGATCCCAAGGGAGACGTGGAAGAGCCGCCCGGAGCAGCTGCTCAAGTGGTGCGCCCACAGGTGAGCGGCGCCAGGGGACGCGGCAACTCTGCGGGGGACATCGGAGTTGAGGGCTCCGTTGCGTCGCGACGTCAGCTAACCAGGGCTGTTTGGGAGTTTTCCTTGTTCTGCAAATGCACAAGGCATTTCACTTTTTCAATCGACGCGCGGCCCCAGGACGGGCCGCTTCGCCGGCGAGGTGCTGAAGACGACGGCTGAGCTGGAGGCCGTCGTCACCATCATATGCGCCAACGAGCGCCAGATGCCGCGGCGCGACCCCCTGCGGCCCTACATGGAGGTGGTATCAGCCTTTGCAGAGAATGAGAGCCCCGTCAAGCCCAGCCAGGTGGGACGCTTGGCTGGGGCGGGGGAGATGGTGTGGGCCAGGCCAAGTAAGGCTGAAAGGCGGGCGCCTTGCAGGGCTGGCGTTGCCATGCGACAACTGTCAGCAACCAGATTGGCTGGTGCGGCCCAGTTTCAGTTTCTGCTGCAGTCCCTCCATACGCCCCCCTGTTTCGCCCCGCCCTGCCTGCTCTGCCATGATCTTGCAGGTCAGCGCGCGCAACCTGGACATTGAGCGCCTCAACGCGGACGACCTGGAGTACAACTATGATCTGGCAGGCCTTGCTGCTTTGAGGCGGCGGCTGGCGGCGGCAATACACAGCTACAAGGGCGCGCATGCACAATATGAGGAGGTGCGTGGCTGGTGGGGCACGGGTGATGACCTCAGCTGGTGGGGGGTGCCAAATCCCCCAGACCAAGAGGGCTCGAGAGGCCTTTGGGCTTCAACGCATGTAAGGTTCAGGACAGCTTTGGCTGGGCTGAGTTGGATAGCAAGCACCGGTGACGCGTTCGGGTGGAATGAAGATTGCGATGCGCTGCAGTGAGCCTGCTGGAGGACGCAACCTGGGGTTGCGTGCTGACTTGGCGTTTCACTGGCTGTGAGGCCTCTGGCAATTCGGCAAGATGGCCCCGTGCTGATCTTCACCTTGCCTGGCCCAGGTGGTGACATCAGCGCTGGTGCTGCAGGAGGTGGTCAAAGCACGGGAAAGAGGCGATTACGAGGCGCCCCCAGAGACACTTGGGACGGGTGAGCGGGCGGCTGCTGCTAAATGTACAAACGACCATGTGTTGCACGACGGGTGGGGACTGCCGCTGACGGTGGCCCACGCCATGTTTTGGAAATCTTGGCCTGCTGCTTGAACCCACATTAGATGGACGTTGCGGTCCCTGCGGCTTGAATAGCTTATGTCAAGATCTCCTTCATGCACTCCAGGCACGGCCTGGGGCAACGCCCTGTGGTACTACCGCTGCGTGCTGCACCCGCTGGTCCGCAAGGTGGGGGGCGGGGTGGGCTTCGCTGTGATAGTGCTGTTGACCTATGTCGGCTTGCGAATGCTGTACTTTGGTTCTGAAGGCGAAGGTTGCGCCGATGCAGAAGCAACCACACCCACGCTCGCAGTCTGGGGCCAGTCATGTTTGTGATATAAGTCCACCTTACCTATCTCAACCAGACACATACACGCGCATACGAACACACACACACACACACACACACACACACACACACACACACACACACACACACACGCACGTATGCACATACGCACGCGCACTCGCCACCAGGTCATTGGCGTGCTGGTGGGTGCCCTGAGCCTTATAATCATCTGGAGTGAGGCCACCATCTTCACAGGCCAACGGCCAGATTTGTCACCCTTCAGCCTGGCAATCAGGTGGGGCTGTGCGGCGCTACAACAGGGACAAGTGACGACCTGGCGCACCTCGTGCCTGCAGCGAGGGACTTAGAGTTACATGCTAGGAGCTGTCGTAAGCAGTGAGGCCACTTGAGAGAGGTAAGCGGCTGCAGTGAGCCTGACGGAGAGGTCGGCAAAATTCTCCTGCGCACAGGCTGCAACGCCTCACCTTGCGCTTTCGCCTTTGCACAGGAGCGCCGTGCCGCACGAGTTTGGGGTGCAGGTCATCACGAGCCTGCCCCTGGCCTACATCTGCGTATGCACGTACTTTGCCCTGTTCCGTCTGAACGCGTTTGACTACAACAAGCTGCTGCCAAGGTGGGTGCCTGCAAGCTGCAAGGGCGTGGACGCCTGCGCGCCTGTGGTTGCGAGTGCATGCCCAACCCTGCTTTGTGCGCTTCCAGGCGCATGGCTGCCCAGGATTTGCAAGAAGTCATATTTTTAGGTTCTAGTTGGGACACGGCCACAAGGCTGCGCCGCAACTCCGACTGTTGCAGCCACCAATCATCCTACTAATGACCACACAGGGCCACGACGGGCGCGGCGCTGATGCAGAACGGCAGCCTCATGTGCCGCTTTGCCCCGGCGACATGCTGGAACTTCCTCCACATGATCCACATGGTGCGCGTCCTGGGGCGCTTGTGGCGCATCCTGGGGTGCTTGTGGCGCCAGGGACACGCAGGGCTCCGACTTTGACTGACTTTTTGCTCCGACCCACGGGCCACCTTACATTCCTCGACCCTGCCCAGCCAGAATGGCCGCCTCCGCGCCAGGCCTGATGCCGGGGACGTCCAGTACTGTCGCCTCTTGCGTCCGTGTAGTCGCCTCTTGGCTCAGCCGCTCCCGGCGACCAGATGCCCCCGCCGCCGCCACTCCCACGCAGGACGGGCGCGTGGGCGGGCAGCGCACCGTGTTCACTCGCAACATGGGCACCATGGACGTCCTGCCGGTGCTGGGCCAGCACCTCAACGTGAGGGGGCGGCGGCGCGCTGCCCGGCCAAAACGTGGTGTTTGGCTGCCGCGTGGGGGCGACCCCGCACGCGCCCGGGCGGGGCTCTGGCCACTGGCCCAGGCCCTAGGCTTGTCTTGGTGGGGATCCTGTCATCTTGCCACCTTCAGCAAATAATGCCACATTTGGAATCAGAGCGTATCTCTTGATGACTGGTGACTTGAAGGCCCAGGCATGGAACCCATGCTCGCTGACGGTGCGCCTCGCCGTCACCCCCAACCGTTGGGGACCAAGCTCGCGCCCCTGGTGCAACGCTCCCCGCGCGATCTCCCCCGCAGGTGTACCTGCCCCTGCTGCTGGTGGTGCACTGCACCCTGACGTACCTGCGGCTGTGGGACCGCCTGATGGGGTCCTGCGTCAGCGCCAAGTACCGCTTCACGAGGTGGGGCAGCGCTGCGCTGCTGAACTACGCGCCGCCCGCCGCCGCTACTGGCCAGTCACGCTGCAAAAAACTCCGACGCCCAGAGTGCTGATTGCATTGGTTGCGAGCCACGAATCACCCGCTCGCACAATCAGCTGCACACCTGGAAGCTGGCCCTCCTTATCACCACACACACACACGCACACGCACACGCACATGCACATGCACACACACACACACACACACACGAAAAAACTTCAGCCCGGCGTTTCCCCCCTGCTCTCCCCCTCCCCCCCCACCCCGCCCCCGCAGTGATGATGTGGACGACCAGTACACAGAGCGCGGCCGCGCCCTCATACGCAAGGAGGCCGAGGCGGCGGCCAACGGGCTGCGCGTCGGAGACATCCTGCACTCCAGTGTCATCGACCTGGAGTTCCCGGGGCTTGGCCCAAAGAGTGAGCGCGGGGGGGGGGCAGGGGTGTTGACGTGACTCAAGTGGAGCGGCTGGGTGCCTGGCACCTGGATGCGATGGTCATGGTTGGCGGGGCTGGGGGGGGGGGGCAAAGGGG